GTAAGAGAAGAGAGAAGAAAAAAAATATGGGGTCTCACACACCGATAGTCTGTTTCTTCCCTTTTCTTTTTTTTTTCGTGTGTGCTTCTGTGTTCAACAAATAAAATAGAGAATTGGTACATTAATATATAGAAATTGGTCAACCAATGATACATGTTGGCTTTTTTTGCAAATATATTCTGGATATATTTAGTTGGTGTATTAAATCTGAATACATAATTACAATACGACTATTATATTAATTCATGATTTTTGAATACAGATGAATAAAATCTAAATACATAGTTGGTATATGATCTTAGAATATTAAATATATGTATTTGAATACATCTGAATACAAATGAGTATAATCTATTATATACATACGATATGATTGTATTGTAAAAAGATGTAATATTTCATTCATTAGAACTGATTCTTTTTTCTGAATACATATAAATATAAAACGACTTTTGTATCAGGGATTGTATATGATCTCTTAATATTAAATACATGTATTCAAATACTCCTGAATACATATTAATACAATCTGTTATACACATATGAAGGTCTAAATATATATTGTATAAAGGTCTCATAGACTCCTAATATCTAAATATATATGAAGACAACCTGTAAAATACATATGAATAAAACCTGTGGAAAATATATGAATATAACCTGGTAAATACAGATAAATACAACCTAATGAATATAGATAAATACAACCTGTTGAAATACAGATGAATACAACCTGTTAAATTAATATTAATGCAACCTATTGAATCCATATGAATGCAAGATGTTGAATATAGATTAATACAATATGTTGAATACATATGAATACAATCTGTTAAATACATATGAATACAACCTGTTGTAACCATACAAACACAACCTGTTGATTACAGATGAATTCATATGCACAAAAACTGAATACATCAACTAAATAATTGAAATGATCATATATAGACACTGTTAATACAGTGAATAAAATGAAAACATATTTTTTTCTTAACTAAACACCATCTTTACCAAAACACTATCCAAAAACAGTATTCACAAAAAACTACCATCCAAACCTACATTTACATAAGACTACTCTAACATTATCTTAGACGTATTCGAATTTGTAATTTGCCTAACAATCTTTGAGGGTGCTTCACTCTCGCTTATGGCATCAGCATCTATCTTCCGCATAGCATAGTCCCAAAAGAGGGAACCATAAATTGGCATCAAATTGAGTGATTTGCAAAGAGAAAGAGGGCCCATTGAAATTGAGTATTTCGGTTGGTATACCTCTGGTAACCCTCTTGTGGGACGTTGAATCCGACATTGGAGAGAAAAACGAGAGCTTTCTGTTGAGTAAACAATAACAATGGTTATTGTTTAAGAAAACAAACAAAATACAAAATACAAAATCCAAACGAAAATCTAAGAAGGTAAATACTTACAGCAATTACTTGTATCAAAATACAACCGAGAGTTGAGAGAAAAATTAATGTGGTGACTGAGAATGAGGAAGACCTAGGCGATATGGGTGGGAGACAATTTCAGTTGCAGAATCGTGGTTTTGTAGGGAAGAGAATAGAGTGTATCAAATTAGAGAGAGAGAGAGAGAGAGAGAGAACGTGGTTTGAGAATTTTACTGGTAATTATGTGAGAGACAATCTGAAAAAGGAGAGAGAAAAATAATAATTAGCATATATAGTGGCTTAAGGGTAGGATGTAACCATAATTAGATATTTTACTATAAAGAGTAAAAAGCAGTTATATAATATAATTTTTTGAAATGGTATTTATTTAAAATAAATAGGATATTAAGCTTTGTTATAGGGGGTACTTGTATATCATAATAAACAGCGCCAAACCTGCAAAACGTGAAATGAAAGCCTCAATGGATATGAGAAAGATGCTCTCAAGCACCCAACAAGTGGCTTGGGCTAAAAGCCGAAGAGTCACCTTTGAGGCCTTCTATGCCTAGTATAAGGTAGGTTTAGATATGGAATTTTTACCTCCTACAACAAAGGTTAACACCTTATTTATTTTAAATAAATACCATTTTAAAATATTATATTCTATAGATACATTTTAATGTTTATAGCAAAATATTTATTTTTGGTTACCTCCTCCCTTAAGCCACTATATACGCTATTTTTTATTTTTCTCTCTCCTTTTTCAGATTTTTCTCTCACATAATTACCGTATTTGATGTAAACTTCTCACTTCACATTCTCTCTCTCTCTAATTTGATACACTCCATCCTCTTCCCCCATTCCAGAAAACACGAAAAAAAGAGGGTAAAATTCTTCTGTTAGCATTTGAGAAAATAATTGCTACTGCATTTGATTGATTTACTCAACTTTGGGCGTCTGATTCTGTAAGCTATGATTTCCAGAAAATAAACTGCTATTGAAATTTCAAATGGAAGAGAAACTTCGCCTACGACAGCAACGCCAATGGAATCATTGGTACGATTTTCGGGAGGTGATTACTTCAGCAGCGCTTCATCTTTTCCGGCAAAGACTTTTGGGCTGCCGAGCAATCATCCGATATAGAAATTTTCTCCGTCGTAACATCGGCAACCAGAGGCATCGGTGACGGCGAGACGACATTAGGGTTGTTCTTGAACAAAGACGACGGAGTTTGGAGCTGAGTAACTTGAATTTTTTGTTAATATATTTCATTGTATTTCAATGTATGTCGTTGTATTCTATATATTTCATTGTATTCATTGTCTTTTTTTCATTGTATTTCAATGTATCCCGCTGTATTCTATGTATTTCATTGCATTCACAGTCTCGCTATATTCCATGAATGTATTCATATATTTTTTTTTAATTAATATAATTTATGTATTCAGATGTATTATATAATTTCTCTAAAGATTGCTATGTTTTTGGGGAGTTTTCGGTTAAGAATCTTTTTTATAACTGAAAATACAAAATTTGTGTGTTATAATTGAGTTTGTTGAGTTATATTAGGAGTCTATTATGTTAATTGATTCACTTTCCGTTTAAAAACAGTATAATCCCTTGTTTCACGCCGTGAATATAGTCGATTACAATAATTTGTCCAGCTGTAATCCCATGTTTCACGCCATGAATACAGTCGAATACACTCGAATACAAAAATTTGTCTAGTTGTAATCCCCTGATTCACACCTAGAAATGCTACTGTATTCATGAATACAGTAGCTTAAATACATCGAATACACTATAAAAAATCTAAAAATATAGCTATAGAAAATAATATAGTAAATGGTAGCTACAACTAACTAATAACCACTAAAACATAGTGATTTCTGAAAGTTATAACAAGACCTGAATCTACGACCATTATGTTAAAAGTCCAGCGCTTGCCAACAGAGCTATACACCCAAAAATGTATAGTAATATTGATATGGAGAAGAGATCAGCCCCCCTTCTTCTCATCATATTAAAAGGGGAAAATGACAACGTATAATCGCTCTCAAAATAATAGTCGGAACAATATATATATATATATATATATATATATATATACATGTTATATATAAAAACTATACAAATTTTTTATACTTTTGTGGCTACCGTATATAAATAGTTTCGACCGCGAACTAAAGGTAAGCTTTGTAGCTGTATACGAAGCTCGTAATGTAGAGCAAACGAGAGAAAATATAGTTAAAATAGCACTGGCTAGCCAGTTTTCGGATTGATCATTCAAAAATAGCCAGCATTTGCAAAGGAATTGAAAAATAACCACTATTTTGCTACAACACGGAAAGTTCTATCATAATATACTGGAGATCGATGCACCTATTTATGAACTTCCAACATATATAATATACTGGATATTGGAGCGTCAGTGTTCCAATCTCCAGTATATTATGTTGGATCGGTATATTATATTGGAGTTCCAATATATTATACAAGAGTTTCAGTATATTATACTAGAGTATTTTTTTCGGATTTGAACAGTGTTTTCGTTCAGATTTATCTTTACATGAAAAGTGGCTAAATTTCGATTACATTTGAAACTGTGGCTATATTTGAATGAACACTTGTAAATCAGGCTATTTTTGAATTTCTCCCGAAAATATAAGGCCGTGTATTAGCATTCCAATAAGAAATTAGGCTAAGGCGCAATAGCTTTTGCGCAGCATCTACTCCTTAATACAAACTCATGTTGGGTATATTATATATTAGAGAAACGGGATAAACGAAATTTTCATTTCACAGATCATATAACGCGCTTGTGAAAAGAGAAACAAATTACAAGACCTCTCCTTCCTTTAAAAAACAAAATAAGCTTCATAGGAACGTGAAGTAAACGAGAATAAACACGTAAATGGAAAAAGGTTTTGTATGTCATTATCTGAGTCGATTTTTATACCAATATGATCGGACTGTATGTTATGTAATTCCCTAGTGTCACTATTTTACAATGTCATCAACTTGTTAAGTTGGAAACATACATAGTGCATATTGACTAAAGAGCATAGACACTATTTTAGAATGTCATCAACTTGTTAAGTTGGAAACATATATAGAGCATATTGACTAAAGAGCATTGCCATATTTTTCCTACTGAGAAATTCCCAGAATCAGAACACAAGAGCAAATGGTGATTTACACAGGACTATTGCGATTCAGAACACACTGACCTTGAACACCCCAACTATGAGATGTCAAGAAAATAAGCAAAATATGGCTCACAGAGAAATTGAGTTCTGCAAAGTGGCAGGTAACGCAAATGCCTTGTACCAGGTAAAGATGAGTAGATGGTAGATTCAGTAAGGTTCAAACCTACAACATTACTGCCGTAAAAAGTACATCTCGACTAATTAAATTACAAGCCTCGACAAATCTGTGCAAGCATTTCACTCATTTGGGGGATAGTGGACAGAATGATAAAGCCTTTACATGAAAGAAAAAAATGAAATTACAAGTCGAGTTCCATTGGAACTTGATGCAAAGACAAATTTATGTTTCCAAACCTTTTCCTATTGATGCCAATACAAAAAGAGTTCTTCAATGGAATGATGTGAAGGACCTGGATCCATGCTGAGTATAATGAAATGAAAGTAGCACAAGTTTGATGCCCAAAATACAAACTCAAAAGGCGATATCCTTGGAGATCACTAAGTACAGCTATGTACAAGAGCCTGGTGAACAGATGAAACATAGCAGTGCTATTCCATCTTACATGTGAACATTCAAAAACCAAAAATACACAGCAATGAGTAAATATTGTACATTACAACAGGCAAGCAAACAAGCTTTCGACAATACACCTAGGATGTCCATCAGAAATAAGTCAATAGAAAATTAATAGAAGTCCACAAAAATCAGTCCATATGCCTACTGGAAATGAGAGAATCATGTCAGAAAATAGGGTTATCATTCTGAAAATATGGGACCTCAAGTAAAAATCTTATGTCTTGTGCAATTGTATGCCAGAAGGAGCTCCTGAATGTCCATAAAACTAATCTATGGGTGGATCATGTTGAACTGGAATCTGGAAAGCTGTTGAGGAATTGTGGATATCACGGGTCCATATCTCTGAAATGAGTTGAGAGAGCGTCAATAGAATGACAACCATTTATCAGCTGGTTTACATAAATGATGCTGTACAGGCACTTGAGACCCCCAGTCAGCACAACACTGAGTGTTACAGGATATATAGGCGCTATACCTGGGAAAAACATATTATGATGCAACAAAGAAGATTAATGGTTATACCTGAACATTGTCGTAAAGTTCAAACAATGGCACAGCAAGAAGCTTCAGATTTTTTGGGACTGCAAAGTACTCTCTTTCAGATAGATGAACAACAAAGAGCTTCTTACACTCCTGCACGGCCCACAACAAGTCCAAAGAAAAAAGTCATTCACCAAAAGAGGAACCAAGGCCCTACTTCAACACCCCCAGACACGATATTTCTCCCTTCTATCATGCTTGGTAGCATATTTGAATATAAGTAGGGTCTCGAATTCCTTCTATTCCGAAAAGTGGATATTGTTTCTCCTCTAAATCAATGCCCCTCCTCCCCCCTCCCCCACCCCCCACAAAGGGAAGAAAATAAAACAAGAGAAGAGATCAAGTATCTTAGGAAAACTTTAATACTACTGTACCTTGGGTTTTGTTATGTGTGGAGGGCAGTATGGATACATTATAGTTTCAAAGTTTGGCCTCCACCAGATGGCCACACACTCACCGATCTGCATTGATAAAAGTGAGATCACCGCAAAAACATTAAATAATATTTTAAGAGAGGAGAAATAGAAAAAACACTTGAATGACGACCAATGATTAGATAGATGGAACCTTATAGGAAGCTATGAAAGTGTGTCATGAGTTTAGTCAAATAGAAGCTCACTTGCTTCAGGTAATAAATGTTCAATGTTTGAAAATAAACTACAACTCTCAAGATCGCCAACTATAAACGGCAATACAAAAACGATTTTCCAAAAAAGAAAAAAATAATATAACCAGCCACAACAACCCAACATCATATCTCCTTAGATTTGTTAAGTCGATAAAGCATAATTCTCTCAATACGATAAACTTAGCCACTTATAGAGAGGTCAACCTTTTTCAGACGAAACAGGTCAACCACCAAACAGACCAACAAAATATTTTGTTATACCATTTGAGCAGCTGCTAAAGTAGGCAGAAACTATAATAGACCAGCTCTATGGGGTGTAAACTTCAAAATTAACCGTTCAGCAAGCTTTCACATTTATACCATCAAAAGATGCCCGAAGCCATACTTATTCCATATCTGTCACCGTCTTAAGTTCTATGGTAGAGTAAATTGTCATGCGATGTGACATGTTAAATGCCTTAACCCAAACCCCTTTTTCTCCTTTATCTTCCACGCCAAAAGAAAGAAAAAAAACTACAAAAAAGAATTTGATAAGGTAAATGGTATTATTAACAAAATGGGAAAGCTCCCGGATACAAGAGGTATACCAAAAAGTAGAGAATCTCCAACCGAACATGATTCTCTACGAAAGACACCCAATCGTCTATACAAGTAGGTATATCAAGGGTGCACCAAAATCAAGCAAAGACAAAAGGCTATTCCTCAAGTGTATTCCCCTCAAAAGCTCTACTATTTCTCTCTCCATATGACCCACATAAAAGCTAACAGAGCAACCTTCCATGCCTTTTGTTTTCTTCTCCTATGTCTACCAGCCCAGATGTGCAAAACACATATCTAACAGTATCTGGCATCACCCACTGTACACCAAAGTAATTCAGGACCACTCTCCACAAACCCAATGCCACGCTACAACACACCAATAAATACTACAAAAATTGAAACACTCAACAATGTACCTGCCAATTTGGCTGAAGACCAGGAGAATTAGCTGCAAGTTTACTGGAGAGTTTCCTTTTCAAACCCTCAATTTCTGCAAAATGAGAAACAAAATGCTAGCATCCCCCCGTCAAAGCTTAGCAAGTAATTCATGACGCCAGAAATGCGAGTAAGAACAAGGGAGCATAAACAAAAACATACCATTCTCTCCTGGTTTCAGACGTCCACCTGGAAGTTTGCAGAATGTGTTCCCAATTTGCAGAAGAAGAATATGAGGATGATTATGTTCTTGTACCTGTGAATTCCAACTTCATGTATAGCACGTCATCTTAATTCTATTCGACAGATTAAAACTCTAAATCACATAGCAAACTTCTAACTAATCAGCTAGATTTATGTGCCAAAATTTAACCAGTTAACATATTGTGTAAAGTTGTCTCTTGAATTAGATTTAGACTGCATCTATGTATAAAGGTTCTTTATGGAGTATTAAAAAAATAATGTATCAATACTATGAACTGTCTAGCGAAACAAGTGAAAGAAGAAACAACCAACTAATGATCTTAAGTGGACAAGTATATATGTCTTCTCCTATCACAACCATACATAGCCCAAAATAAAGTTGAAAATTGGGTTGCATGGCCTATTGTTTTTTCCTCCCATTCAGAAGGTTGAGACCCAATAATCATATTTCTATAAGCAAAAATTGCTGTGGAAAATAATTATTTTTTTATGATGATGATCTCCTTAACATTAACATAGACTATATATCTTTTCCTAGTTAAAACAATTAACAGGGAAGAATGGATGCTTCTCAGACCCCTTTTTTCCGTTTTAACATCTGTTAAGACCAAGATCAGTCTTCCACGCAGCTTTCAATCAGAATTGCATCCTCAGGTAGAATTAGGGACATTTGCAAGTAACAACCTCATGGGATTCTTATTGTAACAACTCATGAGATTCTTATTTCCAGACATAAAAGTTCTCTCTTGTAAGAAAAGAGAGCATTTGTTTGTTCTCTATTCTTGGGCTGCTAGTTTCCTTTCTTTTGTATCCTATGCATCTTCTTAATGCTTTTTGTTAATGATATTCCACTTACTTCATCAAAAAGAAAGAGCATTTGCTCTTCCCCACAATTTCACTGCCACCCAGCACTAAACTTGAATAAAATCCAAATTCCCCTAAAATGAACAGATCGTTTGAAAGTTTTAGAAGTTCCAGGTGCAAGTCTAAATCAACCTAAAATAAAAGTCTAGTACTTATCCATCTAAACCCGGGAATGGGAACACTACGTAGCATTCTTTTTTTTCAAATAAGGAACACTATGTAGAATTTTATGAACCTTTTCTCTTAAATACACTTCTTCATTTATTTAAATGGCCACAACTGATCCAGATTCCAAAAGCAAGCTATACAACAGCTACACCTCAGTTCCGAACAAGTTGGGACCGGCTATATAAATCCTCACTAACCATGTTTTTGCATTTAAATTCATCTCACACCAACATTATACAATTAAAAATAAAAGTAAAAAGTTCTAGAAGTTCCCTATATATTCCACTTGCATAAAAATCTCGGATCATGCTCTCCTACAAAGCATAAAACCTAAAGCAAATGTATTACCGTGACTAAAATATATTCTCAACTAATTGGTGTCGCCTATATAGATCTTTTTCTTCCTCCATGTCTTATCTTTCGCTAAGTCTGCATGGACTCCGAGAGATTATAGGTCTTTTGAGGCAACTTCCTTCCATAAGGTCTACCTTATACCCTTCTTAACACCTTCGCTAACTGTGGTTTCGGCTATATAGGACCAAAAAATGGAGGCCCGCTGAATGGATGAAGTGCCCCCTATTGATGGCTATTTTTTCGCTAAGATGGCTGACGAAACAAAGGTCAATGTCTAGTAACCATAACCCAATCTATTGAACGAGGAAGATCTCCTAATGATCCAAATGATTCTACTTCCCCTAATTAGCTCACATTAAAAACCAGTTACCACTTACCATAAGGATTTTTTTCCAACTGAAATAAGCCCATCGATGAAGGTCATATTGCTTCATCATTTACTTAATCTCTCTCCAGCAAAAACACTTCCATTGAAGATTGGTACTCAAGTCATCTCCAAAAGAGATAGTTTCAAGTATCTTGAGTCTATTATTCAAGTCAACGGGGAGATCGACGAGGATGTTACTCATCGTATTGGAGCAGGGTGGATGAGATGGAGGCTAGCCTCGGGGGTTTTGTGTGATAAGAATGTGCCACCTGGACTTAAGGGCAAGTTCTACAGTTTGGTAGTTAGACCGACTATGTTGTATGGGGCTGAGTGCTGGTCTGTTAAGAAGCCTCATGTCCAGAAGATGAAAGTAACTAAAATGAAGATATTGAGATAGATGTGTGGGCATACCAAGAGGATTAGGAATGAAGTTATTAGAGACAAGGTAAGAGTGGCATCTATGGAGGACAAGTTGCGGGAATCGAGGTTGAGATGGTTTAGGCGTAGGGTGGGCGTCGGTCGGTTATTATGAAAGTACGGTTCGGTTTATCGGTTTTCGGTTTTATAATATTAATAACCAAATCAAACCAAAGTATTTATGGTTCGGTGCGGGTTTTTTAAAAGTTCGGTTCGGTTATTTCCGGTTTAGTTTTTCGGTTATTAACGATTCAAGATTTTTATATCTTGGATATACAATGGATCCAGACTTTTTGCTGGATTTTCAGCTTAGTAGTTAACAAATCAATGTAAATTAGAAGTCCAGACGTAAATCCCATTAAGTTTTATTGACCATTAATGGTCACATTCTGTACCTTAAAGTCTCAGAATTCCTGATGAACATGCACATGCACATATACAGATACCTTAAGAAAGACAGCTTTTGTCATCAGCCAACATTACGCGCAGGACTCATTCTACTCCTCCTTCCGTTAAAGCTACGACTTGAGAGCAACCTTGGAAGACAACATTGTGCTGACTTTGACGTTTTGACGTCAGATTTTATCAGTCCACTGGTGTTCTTTCGCTACTACACACAGACGCATAAGGTGTCCCAGGAGTGGATCTTGGTGGAAGTTGAGCATCAGTTGACGCAGTTTCTTTTTTAGTATTTGTACCATTTTGTTTTTCTTCAGTATTATGCCATTTTGGTCCTGATAGCTTCTCAAGCTTTCTTTGAAAAGTTCAGATAATCTCTTCTTTTTATCTGTGATGGTTGCTGAAAATAAGCGGGGGTTCTGTTCCCTGTTAAATTTCCAGCCAAGGGATGAACAGGTGTATTTCCACGAGATGGCGTAAAATCTGCAGTCAAGTTCAGAGAAGTTCGGTTTTCGGTTTAACCGAAAACCGAAACACCAAAACCGTAAACCCCACCGAAAATCAAAATTTAATAATTTAGAAACCGTGCACCGACCGATTAAATCGAAATTCACGGTTCGGCCGGTTTTTTCGGTTCAACCGGTATTATGCCCACCCCTATTTAGGCGTGTCAAGAGGAGAGACATAGATGCTCCGGTCAGGAGGTGTGAGGTGTTGTCAGGTCTGAGAAAGAGAAGGGGTAGGCCTAAGAAGTATTGGGGAGAGCTAATTAGGCAAGATATGTCGTTGCTTCAGCTTACCGAGGATAAGACCCACGATAGGAAGGTGTGGAGGTCGAGAATTAGGGTTGTAGGTTAACTAATATGTGTGTTTCTCCTAGGCTTACCAGTAGTACTAGAATTATTTTTGTATTATCTTATCATGGTTCTTTATTATTACATGTTGTGTCATTCACACTCGTTACCATATAATATTGTCGTTATCATTGTTTGTTACTTGGCTTATCTCCATTATTTCCTTATGTAGTATGTACACACTACCATCCTCAGACCCCATTTATGGGATTACACTGAGTTTGTTGTTGTTGTTGTTGCAAAAAACACTTCCATATACTCTTTGTGCTCCAATTATATGGCACTATTACTATTTAGGGAGTCAGACAGCTTTTCTAGACTATAACTTGTTCATCCGTTGTTTAAATATTTGTAAATATATAAAGATGTAACTTATAATATTTTAACGTATAAAGACCTAATTTTGCTTTAAATAGATTAAGATATTGATGTCTGAATTGAGACCAAAAATTAGAAAGTTTGACCCTCTTTTGGCTAAGTCAATAGAAATGTTAGGCACATAACGGAAGGGTCATATATTACCAGCAAGGATATTTGCTTGGATTAGGATATACATCTCAAAAATGTTAACGAATGCATAGAAAATCAACGCAAGAGAGTTAAAATGTTGACTGATCCCTTTTTCTTTTCTTTTTTTGATAAGGTAATCCCTTTTTCTATAAGTGATGACAAATGTACAAGCATATAACATGTCGAAAAAGCAACTACACGGCTAAACAAGGACTAAAGATCTCGATATCAACAGATGCAAAATCATAATTACTGAGCTAACATTTGAATCAAGCACAAGACGCCACTCACTTTGTGCAGTTTAACGACAACTAAGGAGTTCCTAACAACTAGATGTGACAAAACAAACATAATTAAGAATCTAGGGCAAAAGCATACCAACAGAATTCCTTCGACGCTAGTCCTCATGCCCTCCTTAAAATAGCTGCAGATCACATTATAACAGGTTCTTAAATTCCCAAAAAAAAAAATGTAAAGGTTTTACCTAGGGTTTAAGATATTTTGATCCAGTTATCTGGAAGAATCTAAGCTAACAGAATTTCAAATACAAAAATAATAAAGAAATAGAAGAAACTATTACTTGACTTTCATACGAGCAAGGCGATCGGCGACGGAGGTGTCCTTCTCCATTTTGGGCTCCTTAGTACCAAATGTATAACTGGACAGTGGGTATGTGTTGACAACCGATGACGTTACCATTTTCTCTCTCTTTAGGTGTTTCGTTACACAAATGACTATATTTTTTTTTTTTTTTGCGCTGCTTTCGGCTCTATGGAATTAGATGTCGCCGACGGGAGACTGGGGGTGGCTGTTCACCGGGGGAATATTTGTATTTTCAGATTTTCCCCCTGTAGATGCTTCTGGACTAAACACGGGCCTGCTTAGATTGGATCTGGCTAACGGGCCTTCACTGGATCCATTTCAACTTCGGTTTCGTTCTTTATTCTTCTTTCCTTTTTCTTCTTTCTCATTACAGAATTTTATAAAGGGATTTTTTCCTTCTTATATAATATTTGAAACTTATTTATCAAAATTATTCAAGTTTTATATATTATTTTTCCTAAAAAAAATTTACTTATAATTTATATATAATTCATTATTAATGCCTTAATTTAGGGGATTCTTTGCTTGGAAAAGGGCGTAATCGGAGGGAACGAATTTCAAATTGTCCTTCCATCTAAATAAAACTCGTTCTAGTTGTGTGTTACCTATTTTAAGCCATAATTAGCGCAACTCTTTTTCTCTTTGCCATAATTACCTTTTTTAAGAAAAAAATAATGTATGGTATAGCAGCATACAAATTACAATAAATTTCATACAAATTGAATACAAGATTTGATATATCTACAACAACATACATACTAAAACAAATTTCATACAACTAATTATATAGTATAAAACTTATTTACAACTTATCTATGACTTTTGTACATCATTCTTACCTAGTTAAATACAACTACAACGTCATACAACTTAAATACAATTTTCATACAAATTTTATACAATATATCTTTTGTATATAATTTGTATGTGATGTGTTCTTCGGGTTCTTCTTCGAATTTCAATCTAAAGATTCAATCAAATTAAATCTAATCTTCATCAAATATCCTCAAAATTGAGATATGAACTCCATAAAACATTCTCAATCGTTTGCAATAACACCCAATCCAAATAAAAAATATTTTTTGAAAATTCGAATTCAAAGCTTCGAAGATTGTTTATGGTTGTCAATGGTGGAGAGTCAAACACCTTCAAAATTTATTGATTGACAATTTCAATTCGAACAATCCAACCAAATAATTAATATATATCTACTGCTAGCCCACCTTCGAAACACAACAAGAAAAGGGGAAGCTCGGAAAAGCTCCAAACTCCGGTCATGGCAAAATTCAAATGGATAAAAAATTAATCCCTTTCTTCGCCATTGTTAGAGAAATTATGAGCTTTAGAAGAAAAAATCTTTGTAGAACCGGTGTAGAAAAAGAGTTGATTTCAAAGAGAGAAAAAGAAAAATCCTTTAGAAAGATTAGGGTCTGTCTAGGTAAGTAAGGAATTGTGAGGATTTTTCGGAATTTACTAAATTAAAATGCTACAATCAAGGGATACTCATTTAAAACTAATTTGTATATAATTGATAAATTATATATAACCATGTAATTAAGTTAAAACTTGATTAAAGAGGGTAAATAAGTTTCATATATAGTATAAGTTGGTAAGAATCCTTTTATAAACTACGCACTACTTACAATATTAAATTTAAAACTTTCGCTATGTTACTGTTTTAAATTAATTTTTGTGGAGAGTAAGATTTAATAATTATGGTATGGACTAAACTATATGTATGGGATAAAATTAATTTATATTAAATGGTCAAATGGTGACATGACACGTGGAACCAAAGACAGGTAAAAGGCGAGTCAAGTAACAATCAGTACCGGAAACAATAATTGTAATTGACATCGATAAATCTCGAATGGAGCGTAATCAGTGGGAGCAGGTCGAATATTTGTCATCGCATAGCATTCAATTAGAGAATATTCTTTCACATTAAAAGGGCAATTGTTATAGAGAATATTTGCATTCATAGTGTGCTATTACATATTTATCAATGACTCATTTATTGTCATTTAAGTAGAGCTTGATCCTAAGATCTTGTTTCCTAGGTATAGCTATAAATAGAAGATTCAACAACCAATGTAGGACACTAAATTCTTGGCAACTAATGATGACAACATCATACGTAACGTTAAGGGACACGAAGATTTGCCTCAATATGAAGACTCGATCAGCGACACCCGCAACAAAGGGGACGAAGCAACCCCGGTTCGTGAAGGGCAATACATATGGCATGTGCGGGATCCAACTCCCGATGACGCGTAAGAGGAATATGTCGTAGAAACGGTGAAAATCTTAAGAGAACAACAAAAGGCAATCATAAGTCACCTCTCAAGGCAGGACCAGGTAATGACGGAGTTGAAACAAGCATTATCAAGAGCCTATAACAATGCAAACAGAAAGGGCCCGGTTCTTCCCGGTGTTCCTGCAAATCAAACGGCTTAAAGAGTTAATAATAACACCTAAAGGGGTGTGGTCGATTTTGACGGTGCCGGAGGGATCGGTAGAGGATCTAGTAATGACAACGGGAATGATCCCTTCAAAACTGAGCTTATGAGGTTTGTGTGGGAAATGAACAAACAAATGGATCAAAATACGAAAGAGTTTCACGCCCAAATGGATCAGATTCCAAGCATACCACCAATATTAAAAGGACCGGATTCGAAAAAAATATACTTAACTACCATTTAAATCGAGCGCAACACCAAAGTTGATTCAAAAAAGGTTCAAGATGCTGGATACACCAAAATATGATAGGACTTCAGATCCGCATGAGCATATTACGACCTATACCACGGCTGTGAAATGGAACGATTTTGGCTCAACATGAGATTGAATCAGTCCTATTGAAGAAGTTTGGTGAAACCCTCACAAAGGGGGACGTGACATGGTATTTACTCTTATCCCAGCATTCTATTGACTATTTTGAGATGCTTGAAAATTCATTCAATAAGGCCCGCGCTGGGGCAAGGAAGGTCCAAGCCAAGAAGGCAGACATATCCAGGATTGTGCAAGGCGATTCCGAATTGCTATGAGAATTCGTGATGCAGTTCTAGAAAGAGAGGATGTTGCTACCTGTTGTACTAGATGAGTGGCCGGCGGAGGCATTCACAAAGGGTTTGAACCCACGAAGTTTCGATGTCTCCCGAAAGTTGAAGAAAAGCATGCTCAAATTCAAAGCAAAGACATGGGCAGATGTCCACAATCGTTACGAGTCGAAAAATAAGAACAGAAGACGATTAGATCGGGTTCCCAACATCAACCAAGGGACAGGATCGAGACAGAAAACATGACAAGTTTAGAAGTGACTTAGATACGGATCGACGGTCTTATAAGGGTCGTTTCCTAGCGTATGAAAGAGACGAGGGATGTAGAAGTAAAGGCTTTCGGTCCTCAGATAGGTTTGCTATGGATAGAAGAATCGACAGTGGACGGAATAACAGGTCATTACAAGAAAAGGAGGTACGGGGAGCCCGGGACTCCACATATCCCAGGTTATCGGATTACAACTTCAACATCAATTTAGTGGAGCTGGTATTGGTGATCGAAGTATCAAAGAAGCACGATTCCCGAAGCCAATTAGATTTGATCCCAGCAAGAGGGATCCCAAATTATGGTGCAAATATCATGGTAAGAACGTCCATAGAACTGGGGATTGTCGGCATCCACATGAAGAGGTGGCGATATTATTGAAGAATATCCATCTCAAAGAATTCTTGAGCGACTGATCCAAGAACAATTACAGTCATAGACGGGACAATGCAGAGTCGTCAAAGGCAATAGGAGACCCCCCCTCAGTTGACTATCAATATGATTTTCGGAGGGAATGAAATTAATGGCGTAACATTCTCGGCGGACAAGAAAACAAAGATATCAGTGACTCACAACAAGAGACTCCGGGAAGTCGCAGAAGATGATATCACCTTTACAGAGGAAGACTCCAACAAACTTTTTCTGCCGCATAATGACGCTCTAGTAATCTCTTATAATGTTTTAGATTTCCAAATTAAGCGTGTTTTGGTTGACCTAGGAAGCTCGGCCAACATTATTTAGTGAAGAGTGTTGGAGCAAGCAAAGCTAACCAAAAACATCATTCCGGAGACAAAGCTCTTAGCTGGATTCAACTTGACAAGTGTGAGAACTCGATGAGAGATCTTGCTGCCCACGAACACCGAAGAGATAACCACGACCACTTTATTCGAAGTGGTAGATAGCGACATAGGCTACAACGTAATCCTCGGAAGGCCGTGGATACACGAAATGAAGGTTGTGCCCTCAACATATCATCAACTGTTGAAATTCCTAACCCAGGAGGGAATCAAGCAAATAAGAGGAGATCAACCATCGGTAAAGGATATGAACGCAATGATAATTTCCATCAGCAAGGGGAAGGATCCCAGTAAATAGCAATTATAGGGATTGATGCCTTATCCCTTGCCGGATGAAGATTATAAAAGTGGGGAGTCATCGAAATCCCACCAGGTGTCGAGATACCTTCAGGTACCGGAGGAGACGGATGCAACCAAATCCACAGCAGAAAAACTCGAGTGAGTGGCTTTATTCAAAAAATTCTTGGAAAGGAAATTTCACTTGGGAACAGGACTAAATCCCGAACTCAAGTTAGATTTTATAAATTTTCTTAAAGCTAACGCAGATTGCTTTGCACGGTCGCACTCGGATATGACATGTATCCCATTGGAAGTGATCGTACACAAACTAATCATGGACCCAAACTGCCCATCGATAAGGCAGAAGGAGCATCTGATTGCCGAGGTCAGTAACATGTTTGTTAAAAAAGAGGTAACCTAATTTCTCAATATCGGTTCCATATGGAAAGTAAAGTATCCATAATGGTTAGTTAATATAGTCATAGTACCAAAGAAGAATAAAAAGTTTAGAATGTGTGTGGACTATAAAGATCTAAATAATGTGTTCCCTAAAGACTCGTTCCAGTTGCCAAACATTGACCAAATAATTGATGCTACGGCCAGGCACGAGTTTATGAGTTTCCTCGATGCTTACTCTGGGTACAATCAGATTAAGATGAATCCGGAGGATCAGGAAAAAACTTTGTTCATAACGAACTTTGATATATATTGTTATAATGTGATGCCATTTGGGCTTCAGAACGTCGGAGCCACTTATCAGAGGCTCGTTAATAAAATGTTCGAAAATCAAATATGCAAGACAATGGAGGCATACATTGATGATATATTAGTTAAGTATTTGAGTGCAGGT